TCTTTTAAAGTTTGAATGGAGTTATTTTCAAAAAAGAAAAAAGTTTGAATGGAGTTGAGTTTATCAGGCACCTATAAATCAATGAAGCGACGCATATTTTTTTGCCAGATTTTTTTTTTTAATATGATTTATATGGTGACGAGTAGCCAGAAAGATGATGTCTTGGATTGTTGTGTGATATACAAATATTTGCAAAATAACCATGCTTTTAAAATAACCATGCTATGTATGCATCCGATTTGTGTCCTTTTGTTAATATAGTCATTAGATTTTGATCCACGCCAAGCGTATGATTAAATAATTAAATATGTTTTTAATCGAATTTAATATTTAGACGTGTATTCTAACATTTATAAATACAACAAATAATATGTATTGTGCATAAATATAATAAAACTAAATTTTGATCAAAAATAAATATATTTTATCTTCATTATTTTTCATTTCTTTCTATCTATTAAAAATAATCATGAATGTTTGTTTTCAAATATTTTAATACGTTTTTGACTCGAATAAAAAAATTTAGTATTATTGAAAAGAAATAAGATATTTTCAAATATTTTCTATATTCTTTAAATAAAATTTTTTATATTAATTACCACATATTCGTTATTTCTATATATTTGTTATTAAGAATTTTTAATAATTTTTATTAGAAAATGATTTCTTTAAAATTTTTCTATGATAACACATATAATTTTTACCTAGTGAATCCTCTATTAATATATAGAGGATTGTGTCGCCAGTATGTTCAAATTCTTATTGTGATTTTTTAACTTAAAAAAAGAATTTGGAAATTATTTTGCTTTATTTAGAACTTAGAAGTGATGTGATTGGTGGGGATTGTGTGAAGAAAGTTCTCAAGTTAGACAATTGGAAATTAGTGCTTTTCCTTTTATCTTTTTGTTTTTCCTCACATAATTCTTACTTTATTTAATTAAATTTTTTTTCTATTTTAACTATACGTATATCAAGATTTTATGTGGTACTATAATTTGGATTCAGAAAAAGTTTCTATGTAATGTTTAGTTTCTTTGACTATATCATCACTAATGTATAATGTAAATACATATATACAACTATTTGAACATTTGTATCAATAACACGACGATTTTGAATTAATTGTACAATTATAGCTTGATTGAGCCTGTAGTAAGTAATTCGAATTGACAGTTGTATGTTTGGACATTTTTGTATCGACTTCTACATAAACTCAAAACATGTCTTCATCATGGTGTATAAAACCTTTGATCTAAGTGGATTAATATTAATTAGTTATTACTATATGTAGCAAATATAAACTAATTACTCTTTTCAAGATTCTCATAAGAACATTTCTTTGTTAAGAGCCCAACAAATTATATGCATCTGATTTAATTTTATCTTTAAATTATATGCATCTACTTTAATTTTTTTTTTTATACAGAAAAACAAAGAACATATGCGTATGTACTTAGATAAACTCCAACTTTGGCACTATATTTGGTGTTGAAATTACATCAAATTTAGTGTTTCAGTATCAAAAAGTTTGAATGGTTAAATTAGTGGCATTTTTTTTTTAAAATAGATAATCCATGGTGACATTTTTGAATATGAACACAACAAAAATGATATTTTTGCAGTTGTCCCATAAATTTGCATAGCTTTTTCTCTCCAAAATTTTTATGATTTTCCATTAATATATATATGCTTAACACAATATTTTAGCATAACATTATTTTTTTTAATATAATACGTAATTGATTTATACATGATTCACGTTATTTGTTAAAAAATAAAATGATCAGCAAAAAACTACTTTCTTTAATTACATTTTTGTAACCCATATATTTGCCAAATTTTGAACAAAAATTTGGTTTATCTAACAATATTTGGTTTATTAATAAACCCAATTAGATTTCGTAAAAACATAGGTAACACAATTTACAAAATTTTTATGATTAACATTCAAAATTGTAAAAAAATAAAGGAGCAATTGCAAAAATGCCACTTAGAAGTGTTCATTTGTAAAAATGCCACTAATTATAGATTTTTAAACCCTATTTCTTAAAATTCTAAACACTAAAAAAATGTTTTGACCCCTAAAACCTCATAAACCTTCATAATTAAACTCTAATAGAAAATAATTAACTCAAACATAAATAATATAAAGAAAAAATAATTTATAAAAAATGATATTTTTGTAAAGATTTTAAAAATGTGGCATTTTTGTAATGTGGGATTGGACGGTGGCATTTTGTTGAAATTTTTCAATGAAATAGGTTAAAACGAGTGGCAGAATTGT